AACTGTTTGTAAGTCATCTGGTATGTCCCACTCAGAAGGATGTAGAATAGGGTAGACAATCTCGGCATAAGTCTGTCGATAAACTTCTGTAGTGTAGCAATCCATAGCGTATGCGCTTGAATCATCTTGGTTTAAATGAAGAGCAACTTTTATAACATGGCCACACGGATAACCAGATGTTTGCCATTTCATACAACTACACGTCTTTGCATTTAGATCGACTAGCCCATTTAAGTTATTATCCAGTACTTGAAACAAAGTGTTTGAACATGGTTCAACTCTCCATGACGTTGACTTCACAACACGTTTCGTTATCTTTTTTTCAGTCCATGGTGTAACACGATGTTCCAATGTTCCTGTAAATTTAAATAAACAATACTTAGTAAAAATATAAATATGATAAGTTACGAATTCAAAGAAATAATACCTGCATGGTTTCTTTTCTTGTAGTACCACTGTTGAATAGAGGCTCGAAAAAACTCCATTAACATAGTAATGGGTAATTTCCGGGAATGACGACTTAGAGCGTTGATTGATTCTGCACTATTAGACGTCATAAAACCATATCTTGCTCCAAGTTGATGTACTCTTGACCATCTTTCAAACCCGACATCTTCTAGTGTTTGAGCACACTGAGGCAAAACACGTCTTAAACAATTTATATGCTTATTGAAATCCACTTCCCGATAAGCTTTTACAGCCTTCCAGTATGTCCATTTGTGCTTTTTTATACCAGCAGACCTTGATTTTAGATTTCTATACAAATGAACACCACAAAGTCCATGAAAAGCATCTGGGAAACACCTTCTAACAGCGTTGTCAATTGAGTTTTCCCTATCGGATATGATTGTCAGATTGCTAATAGGACCTATGCAATCCCTAAGATGCCCCATAAACCATGTCCATGAATCAGAGGTTTCAGATTTGCCAACCCCGTAAGCTATTGGCAATATCCCATTGTTAGCATCCATGGCTACTGCTAATAAGTTTACTCCAAGGTATCGACCTTTCAAATGTGCTCCGTCAACTATAATAACTGGGCGCATGCAAGTAATAAACGAACGAATCTACAAAATAATATACACAAGAAATATAATCATTTAAATGTGAAATGCATGTAACTAACAAAAATGAGTCAACAAAATTATATTGATTTACTAACCGTAGCACCAATGGCGATAAACAGCAACTCAAAGTGTCCATCTCTATCTGTTTTGATATGAGTTACCGACCCAGGATTTTTCAGCTTTAAATTGTGACAATAAGCCGGCAGTTGGGCAAACGATGCTTCTGGCGACCCCCTCAACAATTCCAAGGCATAACATTTGGCTCTCCAAGCTTGAGAATATGATATACTAATCTTGAACCGAGCATTCATGTTTCATGTCCCCGATATACCCTGCCATTCAAAAACATTAACTCAGCCAGAAAACCACCCAACACCTTTTTGTTTGCCTGTCTATGGTGAGGAAAAACTTGGGTTCTTGAACATGTATGTTTATCAATAAAAGTCCTAACTTGAAACATTTCGCAATCTTTTATTCTCTTTGCAATCATACGCCACGTACAGCTTTTGTCAATCATACACCTTGTTTCGAAACGATCTTTGCTTGATTTGTTAACTTTTAGTTGATAGCCATCTTCCACACATTTCGTATACAAAGCTATCTTCAAGTCTTCCTTTGTATCAAAACCATCATCTTTCTTGATACGAATAACTTTTGTGTAACAATCAACTGCTTTCTTTACCAACTCTTCTTCCGGTATCTGAAGTAATTCTGGCATATTCCAGTTATACGCCCGTGGCATTTTCTTTTCTTCGGGGACTTTTTCTTCTTCTTTTTCTTCTTCAGGATTATATGAATTACAGAATGGATGTTCAACATGTTCATTCACAGTCGTAACTTCCTCCTCATTATCATCAACAATACATTCTTCGGCAACGGCTGTTTCATCATCAAAATTCGGGTATTGACCAATATCAAAATCATTACACGCAGGGTCTGTTTCTTCTTCTGAAACATCATCAAAATCCGTGTATTGACCAATATCAAAGTCCGGATATTGACCAAGACCAAATTTCGAATACTGACTAGTACTCACAATTTTTTCTGTTGGCTCATCATCGTCTAACTGGTCAATACAAAAACCGGAATTTGGTGCTGAAAGTTGATTGGGATTTGGATTAGAGAAAGGTTGTGGGTTTTGAGAAAAACTTAGTTGATTACTACCCGCTACTGACCCAACAATACTACTTCTAGGTTCAACAACATACAATGTAACATCATCTTGTGAAACACTAATGTAAGCAATGAATCGTTCAACATCTTCATTGTCGGTTAACAAATAAACTTTACCATTTCTCTGATAATATAGCCTAAATCCACTTAGGGGCTCTAAATTCAATTTATTTGAAACACGTAGCATTAGAGTTTCATAAGTTAACTTTTGTAAAGACAATTTTAGTTGAAGATTCATGGGTAAAGGCATATATTGTAAAACACCATGAACATTATCCCATGACCCTCCAAAACACAAATCTATCCAAACATGATCAACATTAGATGATTTCATGGTTGTAAATTAATTTACTAAACAGACGAGCTGCGAAACTAAAACCTGTTGCCGGATTGGGAAGGATGTCGTTGGATATAGGAACGGATGTCGCCGGAGAGAGTGATAGATGGAGATGGAATGAGTTGCGATTTAGGGATTTAGTTTATGATTTGCTGCTGTTGCGTAGTTATATACCCAAAATTTCAGTGTTGTGATTTACAGATTCTCGTTGCGATTTACGGATTATCGTTGCGATTTACAGATTCTCGTTGCGATTTACGGATTATCGTTGCGATTTACGGATACGCGTTGCGATATACGGATACGCATTGCGATTTACGGATACGCGTTGCTATTTACGGATACACGTTGCGGTTTACGGATACGCGTTGCGATTTATGTGTTCGCGTTGCGATTTTCATATTCGCGTTGCGATTCTTGAAAATCGCAATGCGAATTTGTACTATCGCATTGCGATTTTCAAGAATCGCGTTGCGATTTTGGAAACTGATTTGCGATTCTGGGGATCGCGTTGCGATTTTTATTTCGCGTTGCGATTTTGTTGGTCATTTTGGCAAATCCAAAAAAAGTTGGTTAAAATCGTATATTATAAGGCATTTTTGGTCACTGAGGCGATTTTCTCTTTTTTATTTTATTATTAGAAAGCTAATATCGAAATAGAAATACCTTATCCTTTTTTTCATTAGTTATATTGTGGCAACTTACAAACTAAAAAATTAAAATTAATTTGTATAATGTGTGTTTACTAATTTTATCATTAAAAAGTCTATTTTTACCTGTTTTGTTATTACCGTTTTGTTATTGTTGGGCATAACAAAACTGGTAAAAATTACTTAAAATATTATATTTCCACCTAAAACATCAATGTTCTTTAACATTTCCGGTAAAATGCCCAACATTAACAAAACCGGTAAAAAAATAACAAAACCGGTAGCACTTTACCGGTTTTGTTAAAATAATGATGTTTTCGGTAATTTTTACCGGTTTTGTTATTGTTGTATACCGGTTACATTGTAAATTTACCTATTACATTATAATTATCGGTTTCGATGTAACATATGTGTCGATACGTTTAGAAAATTTATCGACACATATGTTTAACTATTCTCTTATTATAATATAATTAATGATATATTATTCTTATTATAATAAATAATAAATAATAAATATAATTTATAATAATTTTATTTTAATAAAATATAATAATCATAATTTGTTATTTATAAAATTATAAATATAATATTTTAATAATAATATTTACATAAATAATATTAAATAAATTATTCTAATATTTTAAAAATAATATTACTATTTTGTTAATAAATAATATAATTTTATTGTATTTGATGTTTATAGTTATATTGTAATTATGAATATTTTTCATCACTTCATTATGATTATTTTTTAAAATTATATTGTAATTATATATAATTTTTTTTATTTTTTATTAAAAAACTAATATCGAAATAGAAATACCGTGTCATTTTTTCATTAGTTATATTGTGGTAACTTACAAACTAAAAAATTAAAATTAATTTGTATAATTTGTGTTTACTAATTTTATCATTAAAAAGTCTATTTTTACCGGTTTTGTTATTGTTAGGCATAACAAAACCGGTAAAAATTACATAAAACATTATTATTTCTACATAAAACAACAATATTTTTTAACATTTCCGGTAAAATGCCCAACAATAACAAAATCGGTAAAAAAAATCGATAGAGCTTTACCGATTTTGTTAAAATAATGATGTTTTCGGTAATTTTTATCAGTTTTATTATGCACAACAATAATAAAACCGATATATTTTACATAGTAAAATACCAAATAATAACAAAATCGATAGAAATAATGATGTTTTCAATAATTTTTATCAGTTTTATTATACAAAAAATAACAAAACTGATACTATTTTTTTTAACCAATAACAAAATCGATATAACTTTTTTTTTAAAAATATATTAAACGCCTCACATAAACATTTCCAAAATTTCAAAAGAAAAAAAAAATTGCCTGACATGGTTGTTTCAGGATAAACATGGGCAATATGATATCGATAAAAATCCAACTTTAATTTTTTTTTTATTTACCCGATGTTGCCTAGGACGATGAAGTGTGGTAAAAATATGAGTAAACTGTAGTCCCCAAACTTTTAGAGAATTTATAATTTGGTCACCCAATTTTTAAAACTTACAATATAATTATCAAACTTTTAGTTCGTTTTCACTGTAGTCCCTTCCGTCGCCCGTTAATATTTGCTGATGTGGTATTTAACTTCCATTAACCCCCCTCTCCTCCTCCTCCTCCTATTCCTAAAATCCCAACTCTCCAAACACTACTCAAATCCATCAGCCTACATTCCCACCAAGACCAAGATCGAGGAGGAGATGTTTGGGGTTGATAACATGTGTTAGATCTCAGCAAAAGCTACGCTAGAAGCTTCAAGGCTTGCAGAATTTTTAATTTTACAGACAGGGATGACCGCTTTTGGGAAAGCATACTACAGAAATCAAAATGATCTTCTGCCTAATGTATGGTTGTGGTCTGTAGCTGTTAAATCTTTATAGCATTTTGCGAAGATATTTTATGAATTTACATGATTAACTTCATCATGTTTAGCTTGCTGCAAAACTTGAAGCACTTCTTCATGAATACATGCGTTTTTCTGTGGAAAAATGTGCCTCTGTGCTAAGAGAGTTCCATTCGGCTGTAGAGACAATTACATGTTATTTCTTTTTTCATATAATCAATTCATGTATTTTTTTAAACTAACTCGTATTTTGGATAAAAATTTTGGTCTAAAATAATTATTTTAGTTATCTTAAACGTACTGAGAGAATTTTGATTTTTGCAAGAAATGGGCTATGTATAATAAAACACTTAAATGCTTGATTATGTCTTTTACATTACGCAGATGTTTTACTTGAAAAGGGAGAGATTAAAAGAGAAGAAATCTGGGATATATACAATAGGGCACCTCAAATATCTCAGGTAGGTTTTGATCCAAGTAATGATATGTTTAGGGAAAATGTAAATGCATGGACTGAAATTTTGGTTTTATAGGATGGTTGTGATTTACTTATTAAAGCATTACTTGTCGGGTTGAATATTTGCACTATGTAGATGCAGTTTAAATGGTAGAATGCTACATTGTTGTGATTTACTATTCAAGTTTTATCTTGCATCGCTTTTGGTGATTGCATGATTGATACTTTTGCCCATTGTACAGCTTACTGTTAATCCAGTTGATAATATTGAGCCATGATTTATTCCGGAAGATGGGAATCCATGGGGTCACACTTCCAGGGAGGGTTACCTTTGCACCTGGAAATTCTAGATTTTCAACTTTCGGTGCAACACGTCCTATGGAGGTAAGTTGGACAAATTTTTATTTTATTTGGTTATATATTTCGTTTATGAGCTCTGGTATCAATGCTGAGTCCATTCTAAACTTCATTTTCTCTGTAAAGACTAAAATCGTTAGTGATGAAACCTGGAAGCTTATAGATAATATTTGGGACAAGAGGGTTGAAGAAACAAAAGCAACAAAGGGAAGAACCCCAAAACTAAAACCAAATTAAAAATTTCAAAAAGGGAGTTTTTTTTATAGAAGAAATGAAACAGGAAGGAGAAGGAGAAGGAGAAGGGGTTAACGGAAGTTAAATGCCACGTAATTAAACATTAAGGGGCAGGTGACAGAAAGGACAGTAGTGAAAATGAACTAAATTTAATGACTGTATTGTAAGTTTCAAAGGTTGGGTGGTCAAAATACAAGAGTCTTAAAAGTTTATAACTATTTGTATAGTTTACCCTAAAAATATTATAATCATGCAACTTCCCTTTTCTGTTGTTTTTGAGATATACCCAAAAAGGAAGGAAATTAGGCGGGAGATAGAAAAAGAAAGCTATTTATTCATATTCTGGTAAGTGCCTGGGTTCTTGAAGCTGTACTCAACCTTACATTTCACAAAACGTTTATTTGGGGAAGACCTTTTATGATGCCATGGCAGACCTTTTATGTTGCCACCCGGAATCAGGTAATCAGACAGGTTTAAGTAGGATCTTGGTAGATCAGGTAAAATCAGGTACATGTCAATTTGATGGTTTGACTCGAATTAGGTCGGGTATATGCCAAATCAGTTTGCGTTATTTTCAGGTTGATTTGACATCAAATCCAGATCGGGTTTATGTCAAGTTATTTTTAGTTCGGATCGATGTCAGTTCATGTCAAAATAGTTCAGGTCCCAAGCAGATAAAGATCAGGTTAATTCAGGTTCAAGTGGACTTCAGTCGGATCTCGTTCAGATCAGGTCACATCATTTACAGATAAAATTCAAGTCGGATGTTTATCAGATACATATTGAATTTAGGTTGGGTCGTTTTTATTTTTAGATTAATTATTTTGTCTTCTTTCGTGATTGTTGAATTGCAAGTTGTAATTGTATATGATTTTGAGTAAATTAAGAGAAAAATAAATATTCATGGATCAATTTTGTAAAAAATATAAATTTAAGGATAAAATTGAAGAAATGTAAAATTACAAATAAAATTTTAAAATATAAATTAAACAACACACATAGGTAAGGGACTAAATCGAAATAATTTTTAAAATGTGAGATTTAAATTAATATAAAAAAGGACTAAATTAAACACATTTAAAAAGTTATGGGTCAGTTACAAAAATATAAATAACAACAAACAATGGGCCAAATGAAGACGCAAATATAAATTTAAGGAATAAATTGAATACATATAAAAGTGAAAGAGTTAAAATTGAAATAAATTAAAAAAACACAAAAGTATTAAATCGAAATAAATGCAAAATGTGAAGAAATAATGAAATATATAGTAAATTGCATTAATTTAAAAATCGAAAAAAAATATAATATATATAGATAATATAAGTTTATATATAAACTATATTTATATTATAAATTATATATGTATAAACTATAAAAAGCATATAGTTTATAAAATAAAATATATATATATACTACAACAAATTTGCTTATTTTTGGCATCTAAAATATTATCACTAAAACTTACATTTACGTCACTATTTATAATTTGTGACATAAAATTTGACATCACGGCAAACGTCACCCTAGGTGTGTCACTAAATGTCAAATATAACGATGTATATATTTTCATCACGTATTATTATAAATATAATGACGTTAATGAATATCATCACACTATAATTTGTATTCAGTGACAATTAGTTACATCACTAAATAATATAAATTTTTGTTACAAATTATTCATATCGTCGCCAATAAATAGATAATTTTATTTTATAATGACAAAAATAAAATCGTCATAATTTTTTATTGAACTTTTTAAAAAATATTAAAATTCATGAAATTACGTCTAGATTTGTAGGACAACAAATTATAACATAGGATAAATCTTTTTGTAAATTATAATATAGGATAAATCTTTTTATAAATTATAATAGGAGAAAAATTATTTTATAAATTACAATCAAGGATAAATATTTTTATAATTTACAATAAAAAGACAAATCTTTTTACAAATTAAAATGAAAGTAAAAACTTCACATAAATTACAATACCGAAATATATTTTTTACAAATTGCAATAAATTCTCATATTTTTACAAAAAAACAATTGTCATAGACCACGAGCGCACAACCGAAGTTAGCCCATGAAGAACAGGCAAAGTGGTGTTTTGGACCTTCTAGAAGCCACAAAGACTTAGGTGGCATTTAAATTTGTATAGATAATGCCCACTTGTTTTTAGTAGGTAGGATTTAATCTCGACCGTCGATGTAATTAGATCTTAGCCGTTCATTGAGGGAAGCTTTAGCTATAAATAGAGGCATCCCCTCCTCATTTGTACTCACTCCTTCACTTTGAGAAATCATAAGAGCATTCTTCTCTCAAAGCTTTCTTTCCTTCCTTTTGTGCTAGTTCTCTTGTCTAGCTTCTGTCGAGATTCTAAGCATCCTTGCTTGGGATATTTTCAGGCTAACTTAGTCGCAATCACTAAGAATGCGACTAAGGCAGCACGTTCTGAGGCGTCGAAGTTCTAAGGGCGTGACAAGACAAGTGATATCAGAGTTAGTTTTAGAGAAATGGCACAACAAAACCAAGACGAGAACCCAACAAGCGAAGTGACTCGTGTTGTCGTACCGAAGAAGCGAGGAAACTCGAAGGATATGGTGGCCTCATTCGAGCAAAGGGTCAGCAGGTTAGAGGATCGATATAATGAAGTCCAAGAGACTCAAGACTCGGTTGAATCTCGCTTGGAGAAAGTGGAGTCCGTGGAGGATGTACTCCGCGAAGAAACCCAAGCACTTATCAGCGAGTTGACGGAGAACGTAGACGAGCGTACCAGAGGGCTCGATAGCATGTACTTGGCCATGAGGGCCAAAATAATGCGGGAAGTAAAGGAGCTCAAGAGCAAGCTGCTTGTCTACAAAGCTGCCGTGTTGAATGGAGTGACTGGGAAGGCGCAAGCACCAAGACCCAGGATCGACGTCCCTAAGCCGAAGGAGTTCAAGGGGAGTCGGACTGCCTAAGATGTGGAGAATTTCATCTGGGGCATGGAGTAATTCTTCCGTGGCATGGGTATCAGGGATGATACCACCAAGGTAAATGTTGCTTCCAATTATCTTACCGATGTTGCTATGTTATGGTGGTGTCGTAGGTGTTCCGAGAGTGTGAAACCAATCGGGACTTGGGATGAGTTCGTGGGAGAACTCAATGAGCATTTCTATCCGAAGAATGCTGTGCTCGAGGCTCGAGTAAAATTGAAGCAATTAAAGCATGATCGTTCCATCTTGGAGTATGTCAAAAACTTCATTATGATCAAGACGCAAATCCCGGACTTGGGCGAGTCAGAAGGGTACTTTGCATTTATAGATGGACTACAACATTGGGCCAACATGGAGATCCAGAGGAGGGGAGTGACCGAACTCTCCAAGACATTGGATGCAGCCGAGGCCATTGCCCCGTTTGAAGTAAAGAAGACCGAATATCTCCAATCCAGGTCAAAACCCAAAGGTAATGGTGGGGGAGAGAAGACCAAAGGAAACTTTCACAAGCCAACGGGAAATCATGGGAAGTCGAATGATCAACCCAAAAAGCTCTTCAATCATTGGGAGAAGAAGGGGGAATTAGCGTGCTTTACTTGTGGAGGAAATCACATGAAACGAGATTGTCCTCAACTTGTAAAAGTTACTGCCATCAAGGAGAATGATGGGGTAGAGAGTGAGACTCTCAAGCTTGGGTCCATCTTTAGCACCATGGAGGTCAAAAAGGGGTACAAGAAGGGACTGATGTACGTAAACATCACCGTGGCAGGCCAAAAGATGAGCGCACTAGTGGACACCGGTGCCTTAGAGTTGTTAATGTCCGAACAAATTACCAAGAGACTTGGCCTTCATGTGGAGAAGGCAAGTGGTTCCATCAAAACTGTGAATGCCGAAGAAGTTCTGATTGCGAGGGTCGCAAAAGGAATCGAGCTAACCATTGGAGGTTGGTCCGGAAAGGAAGCCATCAAGGTAATCCCTCTCGATGACTTCGACTTTGTTCTTGGGTTAAGTTTCTTGGACCGAATAAATACTTTCATAGTGCCTTTTGCCGATTGCTTGTGCATCCTGGATCCAAAGGAACAATGCATTGTTCCAATAAGCCGAGGGCCCGAAGTATGGGCCAAAATTTTGTCCGCAATTCAATTCTCGAAGGCGGTGTTCAAGGAGGAACCGACCTTTTTAGCTGCCTTGGTGTGTGACGAACCAACCACAACCAAGGAAGTTCCCGACATAGTAAGTCATGTCTTGGCAGAATTCAAAGATGTGATGCCTGTCGAATTACCCAAGAAGTTGCCTCCACAAGATTGAGCTTGTGGAGAATGCGAAGCCACCCGCTTGAGCCCCTTATCGAATGGCTCCGCTTGAGTTAGAGGAAATGCGAAGACAATTGAAGGATCTCCTCGATGTCGGATACATCCGACCATCCAAGTCCCCCTATGGTGCACCGATGCTATTTCAAAAGAAGCATGATGGTTCTCTACGGATATGCATAGATTACTGAGATTTAAATATTCACAGTAAAGAACAAGTATCCCATTCCCCTCATTGCGGACTTGTTCGATCAGCTTGGTGGTGCAAGGTGGTTCACCAAGCTAGATTCACGATCGGGCTATTATCAAGTCAGGATAGCCGAGGGAGATGAACCGAAGACAGCTTGTGTGACCAGGTACGGTTCTTACGAATACCTTGTGATGCCCTTTGGCCTCACAAATACTCCAGCCACCTTCTGCACGTTGATGAACAAGGTACTAGAACCATTTCTAGATCATTTCGTTGTAGTTTACCTTGACGATATTGTAGTGTACAGTAAGACCTTAGAGGAACACATTGAACACTTGAGAAGGGTGTTCCAAGTCTTACGAGAGAATGAGCTCTATGTTAAAGAGGAAAAGTGCTCGTTCGCTCAGAAGGAAGTGTCATTCCTAGGCCATGTCGTTGGAGGAGGCAAGCTTCAGATGGACAAGGACAAGATTCGAGCAATTGACGAGTGAAATCCACCCACCAAGGTGACCGAGTTGCGAGCATTCTTAGGATTAGCCAACTATTACAGACGATTCATGAAAGGCTATTCCAAGATTGCCATACCTTTGACCGAGTTGTTCAAGAAGGATAAGGTGTAGGAATGGAGCACGAAGTGCCAAAAGGCTTTTGAAAAGATCAAAGAAGCCATGGTGAGTGAGCCTGTGTTGGTACTGCCAGACTACACCAAGCCTTTTGTAGTTTTCACTGATGCGTCCGATGTTGCCATTGGTGGAGTCCTCATGCAAGAGGGACATTCGGTTGCATACGAGAGCCGGGAGCTCAATGAGACCGAGAGGAGGTACTCGGTAATGAAAAGGAGATTACTACGGTGGTGCACTGTTTGCGCACATGGCGACATAACTTACTTGGGTCCAAGTTCGTGGTATTCACGGACAATATTGCCAACAGTTACTTCCTCACCCAGAATAAGCTTTCTCCCAAGCAAGCTCGTTGGCAAGAGTTTCTTGTCGAGATCGACTTTTCCTTGGAGTACAAGCCAGAGAAGGTGAACTGTGTTGCAGATGGCTTAAGCCGAAGGTACGCCATCGAGACTGTGGAAGGGACCTTGCTCGAAAGGATCAAAGAATGGTTACCCCATAATCCTGCGGCCGTACGAATTATTGAGGGAACTAAGGAGGGGCGAACCAGAGAGTTTTGTCTCGAGGGGAAACTACTGTATTATCGAGGAAATCGACTCTTTAAGCTTCGATATGGGAAGTTACGCAAGGAGCTCATGAAGGAATGCCATGATTCCAAGTGGGCGGGACATACGGGAGTTGATCGGACTTTGGCATTACTCTCGGAGCAGTACTATTGGCCGCACATGGCTGAAGATGTGCATGCCTATGTGAAGACTTGTCTTGTGTGCCAGCAAGACAAAATCTAGGCAAAGAAACTGGCGGGACTGCTACAACCTTTGCCCATTCCTGAGCGCCCATGGGAGAGTATTTCCATGGATTTTATCATTGGTTTGCCCAAAACTGATGGACTTTCAAGTATAATGGTTGTGGTTGACAGGTTTTCAAAGTATGCGACGTTCATATCGGCATCTAAAGTTTGCCCAGCCGTGGAGGCGGCTCGACTTTTCCTCAAGCATGTGGTGAAGTATTGGGGAATGCCGAAAACCATCATCAGTGACCGGGACACACGGTTCATAGGGAGGTTTTGGACGGAGTTGTTCAAACTGATGGGATCGAGCTTGAACTTTTCCACTACAGTTCATCCACAAATCGATGGGCAAACTGAGCGTGTGAATGCTTTGTTAGAGATCTATCTGAGGCACTACGTTAGTGCTAACCAACGAGACTGGCCAAAGCTGTTGGATGTGGCCCAATTTTCCTACAACTTGTAACGGAATGAGGCGACAAACCAAAGTCCGTTCGAGATCGTGACCGGGCAACAACCGTTGACACCCAACACGGTTGTTACCAAGTATGAAGGCCAATCCATCAGCACACAACGTTGCCAAAGAGTGGCACGAGCAACACGATTTAGCCCGAGCTTGTTTGCACAAGGCGGGAAGGTGGACCAAGAAGTGGGCTGACCGAAAGCGGAGGGACGTGAACTTTGAAGTTGGCGACCTTGTCCTTGCAAAGTTGGCCAATGTTTTACGCCATGCGGATGTGCACAAGGGGCTTGTACGAAGATACGATGGTCATTTTCGAGTCGTGAAGTGGGTAGACACCATGGTCTACAAATTGGAGTTGCCTCCAACCATCCGAGCGTATCCCGTTATCCATGTTAGCCTGCTCAAGTCGTACCATCAAGATACCGAGGATCTAGATCGAGGCAAGTCACACCGAGCGCCAGTCGGAGTAGCGGTCTCCTATGACAAGGAGATCCAAGATATACAGGCGGAGAGAGTTATTAGACGACCAGGACACCACCCGAGGCATGAGTACTTCGTTTTGTGGAAGGGACAACCCAAGTGCGAAGGAAGTTGGGAGCATGCCGAGGGACTTTGGCAATTCAAAACCCGAATAGACCAATTTCATGCCAGACAAGTGACGAGGGCGTCACTGGAACAAGTGGGGGAGAATGTCACATACCACAAGCCCACAACCGAGGTTAGCCCATGAAGAGCAGCCCAAGTGGTGTTTTGGACCTTCTAGAAGCCATAAAGACTTAGGTGGCATTTAAATTTGTATAGATAATGTCCACTTGTTTTTGGTAGGTAGGATTTAATATCGACCGTCGATGTAATTAGATCTTAGCCTTTCATTGAGGGGAGCTTTAGCTATAAATAGAGGCATCTCCTCCTCTTTTGTACTCACTCCTTTACTTTGAGAAATCATAAGAGCATTCTTCTCTCAAAGCTTTCTTTCCTTCCTTTTGTGCTAGTTCTCTTGTCTAGCTTCCGTCGAGATTCTAAGCATCCTTGCTTGGGATATTTTCAGGCTAACTTAGCCGCAATCACTAAAAAGGCGACTAAGGCCGCACGTTCCGAGGCGTCGAAGTTCCAAGGGCGTGACACAATGAAAATCCAAAATTATATAATCATTATATTTTGATCTCTCCCCTCTAAAATACCCCCAAAACTAACCCCACATTATGATCAAGTCGATTGGTCGTCAATGCTGTCGGTAGCCTCCGACTTCAGTCACCATTCCAAACTCTTGTAACCACAAAAATAATAACTAAAAGAACAAATGTTATAACCAATGAAAATATACAAACATATATATATATATATATATATATATATATATATAAAGAAAAAAACCGAAATTGAGATATAAAATTCTGGTTGTAACAATAGTTATAACAATCATAATAATATAAGCTTTGAATAGAAAAATAATAAATTTTGAACTGGTATATTAGCTATTAGTAAATAGAGATATTATGTAATATTTAAAACAATATAATAATTAAATAATTAGGTAAAAACAAATTCATTAAAGGAAATGCTTGGGTGAATAACAATTCTAAGGACATCGGGCGTTGCTTACCAATTTCAGAGGACAGTGGCTGGCGGTGAGAAAAAGCTGTAAAATAAGGGGGAATTTGGGATCGGAAGTTGGTTCGATGAGCTTGTCGAAATTCCCAAATGATTCATTAAATTCTGCATCATGAAGAAAAAGAATAATGAGCAAGTTCATAGTAGAATAAGAAATCAACAATATCCTAGCTTGAGGAAGCAAGTAACTGAGCCATGGCATTTTGCCGACCACTTAGCTTATCGCCCAGTTCCATTGCGAAACATAATTCCAAACTAAATAACGCTAACCCAACATGTAAATATAACTAAAAATACGAAAGCAATTAATTTGTAAACATAATTCACTAAAATGAAGCATAAAATTTTCATTTGTTTAGAGAATCCAAAGTCTGAAACGTACTGGAAATTACTTGAAATGAACTACTAATATGATAATGTCATTCAAAAATTCAGAAGGAATCAATAAAAGAAAGAAATAAATTAAGAAGATAAGAACTTGAGAGGATTGAAGAAAGCGAGGGAATTAGATGACCATACAGGGCTGAAGGGTCAAGAAGGAAGATGGCGACCAAGCAAAGTAATTTCGACTAACAAACAATAATCATCAAATATCCATGCGTTGGGAATTTCCAAGCAAACCAACTCCGCCCCGTTCCGTTTCTTCCGAGATATCATATCCCGAGCAAGGACTCGATTAAGTCATGACAGTTGAAGAATGGCTTGTAGCGTAAATGGAGAAAGAAGAGAAGATACAAGATAAGATGGCGGTGAATGGGGTGAGGCGTGATAGTGGCGAACGACGGAATGGGGAAATCTAAGCGGTAGTGGTGAATTTTTAGGGATTGATTTAAGTGGGCGGCGCTTGATATTCAAGATATGGTTTGGGAAGAGAAAAGCCACGAGGGTTTGGGAAGTAAACTCTTGAATTCTAAATTTCCTCTAATTTTCGTCATATTTTTAGATTACAACAATAATTATTTTAATAAAATTTATGTTGTATTAAAAAAATAAAAATATATATTTTTAGATATTTAAATAATTAAGATTTTAAAAAATGATAGGATAACTCGAGTCGTTTTAATATTAAAATGATATAATGTCTTGAAAAAACTTTATGGCCAACTGAGTAAAAAATGTATGATTTAGGGGACAAACATGCCTTTAAAAAAGTAAAAATGAAGTAACTAGATCCTTATATTTTCCTTTAAAATAAATTTGATGAATGTGAGTAATTTTTTATAGACGTCATAATCAAAGAGATTGGAAATACTATTAAAACTCTCTAAATTAAATTATTCATTAAGATTATATGATTATCATATTAGCATTCAACTTTGAAAAAGTCAACTAAAGAATATTTTTAACGATAAAATTTGTATTAAATATACATATAAATATATGTATTAACCAAAACAGTTCTATATAAATACACATAAAAGTATAAAACTCACAACTTTAAGAAAATTAGAGACGAAAAAAGTGACAAATTTGCAACCTCACTAATTAGTGAAGAATCAAATTGTCACGAATAAAATCTATCAATGACAAATTTGCAACGTTGTTAATTTGAATCGAATTGTCATTATAATAAATCGTCACTAATACTGTCATTTCATTAGGGTCATTTTTCTAGCATCACTATTTTATTTAAACGTCATTAAAAGTTTTCCCTCCATATTTTTTTGGAGGAAAATTTTGGTTCCAAACATATAGTGACGAAAATCGGTGACTATTTTTAAAATTATCATAAAAGATATACCATCAATCACTGAATTCGACAATAAAAAAGTCACTTTAAAGTATATTTCGTGACATTATACACAACGTCATATAGATATTTTGTCATAAATTGACAAATTTATTGTAGTGATAGTTTAAAGAAACACTATGCATAAACTATATAAAGTAATAAAGTATATAGTTTATAAAAACCCTATACCCTAAAACGTAAACCCTAAACCCTAAACTTTATAAACTATATATGTACACATTTGATAATTCATATATAGTTTATATAAATAATAGTTTATATAAATTATATATGTAACATTAACCTATAGTCTATAAACAATAGTTAATATATGTAACCTATAGTATATGTATACATGTAAACTATATATGTAACTTATAGTACATGTATGTATAAACTATGTATAGTATCTATACACTATATATATAACATATATATATATATAACCATATAAAGTAAATTACTTATAAAGTTTATAGAAACACTATGCATAAACTGTATAAAGTAATAAAATATATAGTTTATAAAAATCCTAAACCCTAAACCCTAAATCATAAACCTAGAATCATAAATCCTAAACCCTAAACACTATACATAAACATTAGTTAATATATGTAACCTATAGTATATGTATACATGTAAACTATATATGTGACTTATAGTAAATGTATGTATAAACTATGTATAATATATATATATATATATATATATATATATAACATATAGTATATGTATATATATAATCTATTTATATGTTATATAAACTATATATGTAACCTATAGTTTATAATCAATAGTTTATATTAGTGTACTATATAGTTTATACTTTATAACCTATAGTATATAATTTATAAACAATAGTTTATATTAATGTACTATATAGTTTATATTAATGTTATTTATCTTAACTATAATTTATATTAATATAGTATATAGTTTATAAACTATAATATATTAATATTAATTATATTAACTATAGTTTATAAACTATAATATATAATTTATAACATATAGTTTATATTAATATTAATTACAAATTATAAACTATATTATATTAATATAGTTAATATTAATTATTATATTAATATTATATATTAATTATATTAATATTAATATTAATTATATTAATATTAATATTAATTATATTAATATTAATATATAATTATTTTAAATTTAATTATAAATAGTTAATTAATAAAAATTATATAGGGATGAAATTAAAATAATTTAAAATATAACGATTAAATTGAATCATTAAAGTTGTACTAAATTGAATAAAATCAAAACAAGGGGACAACGGTAAAATACAAAATGAAATTAAAAAAACTCTCGGATCCTTAACCCGACCCGAATGGAGCGACTATATAAGGTCAATTTTTTGTTTTTTTTCCATTTTCGATATCTTATTCATTCTCTCAATTTGCTTTCCCTCTCTCTAACTCCCCGTTTCTCTCAAATTCTCTGCCTTCTCTCTAGAAGTGTAACCCCCTCAGACCGATGCGGGTAACCCAATCTGATCTAGAGTGTCACATTAGGGCCACTGGAGCGACCCACTGTAAAAATGGCAGAAAATTAAAACTTTTATTAAAACATGTAACTTATAAAATGATTTATTAGTATGCAGAAATAAAACAGATTTTCAGACTCGTATATATAAAACAAAATACAATTACATGCCCCTAATCACATGTACCATGCTCTACAAACAACGTCGGAAGAACTCCTTTACTGAAGTTGATAGCTGCACTGGTACAATTCTTTTTAACCTGTAATGTTGAGTAATAGAGTGAGTTTCGAAAAGCTAAGTAATACAGAAATACCAGATGATGCTGAAAAACGTATAGATACAGATAAACATATATTTCCTTATCGGTTCAGACATCTACATATCTTTATGCTCAGCAGAGATCCTATAGATATTTCAGGTAGTAACAGATAGTAAGCGTTTAGTTCAGGGAAATATTTTGGATGTCTAGGTTCAGGAGATCAGAATGGGTTATCTAGAGTGTTCCCACAAAATCAGTGAAAAGATACAGATCTTTTTAAAACATATTTTTTTTAATTCAAAAACCATAGTAATTCCCCCATCCGTCACGAATAAAATATGTAGGTTCCCCATAACCATACAACCCCGTCACGTCTAATAAGGCCCCGAGCATAAAGCCGAGGAGCCTACAAGTATTCTTCCTCTAACAATACCCCCCAATAAAACATGTTCCATCCGTAAATGGATATATCAAAAATAAAAACAAAATTCAGGTCAAGTATCAGATCAAAATCCAGGCCATATATCAGATCAGAATCCATGTCAGTATCAGATCAAAATCCAGGTCAGGTATCATAACAGAATTCAAATCGGAAATCATGTAAAATATTCATGTGATTAA